GATTTAATACCTCCTTGAACCGATACAGACTTATTACTTTCGAAAAAGAAAAGCAAACAATCGGAAGCCTGCTGACTTCATATTAAACTAAACACATTTCAAAATCTATAGACTCATTTAAACTGGATGTAAAGTCTGAAATAAAGAATAATGAATGAATGAATTTAGTATTAAAAACAGAAATGTTGATTGGTTTCACGCTAGGATCATCTTAATATTTGTGCTGGTGTTAATCGATACATTATCACTCAAGCTTTTAAAGCTGGATTGACAACCAGAGTGTCGTATTTATTAACGTAAATCGATACAACAAGCAGATTATCACGGGATAGATTAACAATTAGGTAAAACAGCGGGTACATGTTATATCGACAATACATAGAACGGACATAGTCATAAAATACTCCGATCTTGAGTGCATTAAAACGACAAAATCTGAAAGGGGTGCCGCTATTTGTTTCTCAACATTAATTTGCTGATACTATTAAATACCATATCGTTGTTTTAATACATTGTGGGTGGTCATAAATTATCACGATTCTGATTGGCTGTTTTGTAATGATTGCAGTCAACAGTAAATTATCCAAGAGAAAAATTATATTTTTCAAAATCGTAAAATGTAAAAAATGTAATTTGTACTAATATTATTAGTACCGTAATAATGTAATAAATATCGGTATCTTATGTTACTAATTATCGGTCTAATAATTAGTACCGTAATAAATATAACAACAAAAACAGCAACAACTCAATAAGGATAATTGCCAATTAATATCAATACATTTAATATTGTTAACGATAACTACGAATGCTTACCCTATGAACAATCAATTAAATAAAAAAATAATTAAAAATAAATGGAATCGTTATGAATTCGCACTTCCTGAGTTGGCCATTTAAGAGTTTTAACGCTTACCCTCCTCCCACCACCACCTTTGTCAGGGTCTAATCCAGGATTTTCGAAATGAGGGGGAAACACACCAAGTAAGGGCACTGAAGTGGGAATGCGGTAGGTCTATTCTCGAAAACATTTACAATACTATGCCCGGCAATACGGTCTTCTCTGAGAGGTTTGTTAATAACTGAAGCTTTCTACAAAATCTTTGCTCTTTCCTGAATTACTACGCTATTTATTTCTTCGGATAGAGATATATACAAGTTAAGAAAAGTTGACGTGGTTTGGGGGTGGGGAGGGGGTCAGGTTGCCTTCCACGAAAATTGTTTTTGCTTCGCAGATGCCCTCTCCGTAGCTTTGAGATGTGTGCAGTGCTATATTGAGGGAGTTGAGTTTGTTTCGATGTGGTATTGCATTACAGGCCTACTACTTTACAAACAGACAGGTATAAGAGAATCCAATATAAACGAGCAGAGAAAATGAGACGTTAGGGAACGTGGTCCGAGGGCCTTACCCTGAAAATTGGAAATGCGCTTTCTACATTATCTTGGGAGGTCTGTTATATGACTAAAACTTTCTACATACTCCAGGTTTTTCTGTGTAATAGGCCTAGGTCTATCTTACATTATCATTATTTTTGTTTTAGAAAACATTTGTCATTTTTTTTTTAAAGTAAGCCCAGCAATTGAAGCGATCTCCAAACAGTTGATAAACAATGCGCTCAACACTGATTTTAGTCCGTAACCATGGGAAAATTATGATGCGCTCGGGACTAGATGTTGCACTTTACAATAACTTTCTCCTCCCTGAGGGTCACTTCATGTCCTCTGCAACCAATAAGGACTGATATTAAACGTAATAGAAAAGAGGTAGGGTAAACTTAATATACGAAAGTAATATTTAAAAAAAGTACAGTATGTGGATTAAAAATTAAAATTAGAATAAAACTCATTAAATTATGCATAATTTAGGAAATAACCGTTCCCGGAATGCTGACATACGTTTCTCGTTGTTGATATAGCATGATAAACGTAATCTGCATATCATTATCATTTTAATGTTCAGCAATATGGTGAAGTCAAAACAATAAATACTGTAGGCCTATTTCTTATAGTATTGCTAGTAAATTGGATCGAGTAAAATTATATATTTTTTTAAATATTATTATTATTATTATTATTATTATCAATTATTTTTAACATTTTAATAATAATATCAATTATTAAAATTATAAAGAATATAGGCCTATTATAATTGTTTATATGATTATTTTGAATAATATAATTATTATCATTAATAATAATATAATCATTATCATCCTAATTGTAATTAATATAATTTAACACTTTTAATGTTCATTGTTCCTTTGTGATACCCTGCATGCGATTGATAAAGCCATGCAGGGTTATGTTCTATGTATATTCTATTTATTGTTTTTTTAAATGAAGAATGATTACAAAAAAAAGACTGAAACACTGTTCTACTAATACTGCTACTTTTATTACTGCTGCTGCTGCTGCTGCTACTACTACTACTACTACCACCACTACTCCTACACTACAATGCCTTTAACATTAACTTAATTAACTAACGTTTAATAATCAATATTACTATGTGAACTTTTGAGTTTTGGACACCGTCATTGTTATTGGATTGTTTAACCCAATCAAGAGTTTTTGTTTTTCCTAAAATATATCAAACGACTCCTTTTGCATGCTACTTTCACACATATAATAATACATAAGTTGACGATGCGGATTTCACAGTAATTTTTAATACATAATTGTATTTGCCGCGAATAAAGTGATATACCGGTATACCTTAAAAAGATGATCTGTTTTAAGTAGGGTGTTAACAAGATGAATAATTCACTACGTTGTTGATTTGTAAATTGCGAACATTGATAAACAGGGACGCAAATTTATTAAGAAGGGTTTCATTATCATATTCTGGTTTCCGATATTTATGTAGGCCTATTTATGACTGTAAGTTCTGAAACATCTTAGCTATCATTAATGTTTATGACGCTTCTAGTAAGATTTTATAGTTGTTGGTGATGAATTTTCAAATCGAATACAACCGAACAATGCGGTTGCATATATGCTGGTAGATCCAACCTTATATAAAGAATATCAGCGGTAATGTTCGTTCTATTGCCAATAGTCGATTCCATCGCTAAGTACATAAAAATAACGATAGTTGCATTTTATATCTGATAGGGATCAGTGAGTATTGTATATTTTCTATTGAGTTTGAATATAGAGCAGTTGCAATGTAGCTTCACCAAAGTTGTCTAAAGTTTAAATCTCGTTACAATAATTGCAACTACGTTTGGAAGTAGAGTGATTAGATTTGCTATTCGTCAGCCTCCTATTTATTTTCTGGTGTAATGATGTTAGATTTTAATCTTTGTACATTAACGGTTAAAGGTTGTATATATTTATGAAGTGCAACACGTTGGTGTGTCTGTGCACTCTATTCACTTCACAGAGATTACATTTTGAACTTATTATGTCGTTTAGGAAACTATATTTCTGCTTATTCAATCTATTTAAATA